CCCCCCGCCGGTTTGTTCCCCCTCCCCTCCAGCACAAGCATGTCACTTATCACAAATTCTTTCATATCTCCCACTTCTACTCTTGACTTCTCGTCTTCTGTCGCTTCCTGCCTGCATTTCGCTTCGTACCTCCTCCGCCCATGGTACAGCCCACTGATCGGAGCAACTTTAAACCACCCTACGCTTATTTTTAAGCACCATTTGCTTATTTTTAACCCTATTGACAACCACATCTCAGTACCACCCCACCCTCCCATCCATATCTTGTAGTACCCCCTGATTCGATCTGAGGGCCGTGGTACTACCCACCCCTGAGTATCTACCACAAACATCTATGAAATTAGTACCACCCCTACCTTTTGTTAGTGATGGCTCCAACGTACCCGTACTGTGGGCCCATGCGACTCGACCACCCCTGACTCTTGACCCCCTGTTCTTCCTTTCATCACCCCTACATACGTATCACATGGAAATAGTACCCCTTTCCTGCCACTCAAAGACGTTAAAATGTACCGGTACTTGAACTACCCAAGTAGACTCAGACCCTTGCGTCTAAGTACCCCACCCCTTCGAAATCTCGTCCAAAACTGAACTGCCGGTTGAGTGCAGAAAATGAGTTGGAATGGAATCTTGGAGGGAGGGAGGGAGGGAGGGAGGGAGGAGGAGAGGAGGGAGAGACAAGGAGGAACGGAGGAGATATCAGGATAGATATTCGATATATGATGGCAGACCATGTAGAGTTGTGCTTGAAACGATGCGATGAATCTTCTTGCAGCAAATTAGTTGGAAGTTTCTGTTTTTGGTGATTTGATGCCCAAAAACTTGAACAACAGAAAGAGATGGAGCATGAATGCAAGGACATGAAGAGATAGTGATTTCAGATCAGATGATGATAGGTTTGAAGACACCGATGAAAGGATCCAATAGGCATCGCCACAGGTTGTGAGGGATGGTGTAGACAGGGTCAAGGGTGGCCCCCACAACACGAAGCTCTGTAGAGAAGCTCCAATGCATAGGATGATGCTCTGTCGAGTAGCAGACAAACGCCATGAGCTACGAGAGATGCGAGAGAGATATTTCCACAGAATGGGAATCATGCAGAGGCCATGGCGATGTAGCAAGTGTGTTTTCGATGCGGAGCCCCTGATGACACATCGGATCTCTCTCCCCCCCCTCCCCCCTCCCCCCCTTCCCCTGTGACGGATTTCCTTGTCAGCTCTGACTGCTTCCCTCCTATCAGGCATGCATGGCTCTTGTCTCTCACAGACTCTGACTTCTTCGGCCTCCACACGTCTGTCGCTCGCTCGCTCTCCTTGTGGCCTGACTTCCACCTCAGTGAACGACCCCGTTCCCCCTGCTTCCTCCCGCAGAGCAAGGAGCAGCGGTATGCCCGACATGTCGTTGACTGCTCTGCACCTGCTGACGGAGGCGCAGGCCAGAGATCTGACGTGTCATCAGACCCTCGTCGGCATCATGACACGCACATCACCAAGTTCTATCAGTTCGAGACGAGCTCGGGGCAGAGCGAGCGAGGCAGCTCCAGCTCGCGGTCCTCGCGCTCTCTGGGGACTTCCAACGCGACAGACGGGGAGGAGGAGAAGGGGTTTCTGAGCTCCCTGGTCGACCGGGAAGCCGTGGGTCCGATGGGTGAGGTGATGATCACGGGAAGGAGAAAGCAGAATGACTGCAAGAAGGTCAGCGAAAACTTCTACTCCTCCTCCTTCACATTCTCTTCCCCCTCCCCCCGCCACCCCTCCTCTAATCTCATCCTCTTCTCTCTGACATGCCTGCCCCTGGCTCAACCGTTCCCTTCCGCCCTCCCCACTCTCCTCCCGTCTCTCCTCCCCATTCTCCTCCCCCCTCTCTTCCCCCTTCTCTTCCCCCCTCTCACTTCGTCCTCTTCCCAGGACGCGAACATCGAGAGGCTCGTCGGTGTGGACGTGGCACCTGCTGTGGGCTTGCGGGTGGTGACATCGAGCCGGGCAAGGGACGTGAGCAAGGTCGGACTTCCCTGCCCAGGGACGATCGTCAGCCTGATGAAGGAGGGGCGAGCGTGTGCGGTGAAGTGGGACGATGGTGACGGGCCGTACAAGTATGGCACTTCGAATGCTACAGGGTATCAGGTGATCCCTTCCCTCCTCCCCCCTCCCACCTGCCCCTCCTCTTTCGGCTCCCTCCTCCGCCTCCCTCCCTCGTCTTAACTCTTCCTTCTTCCCTCCATCGCTTCCCTCTACCTCCTCCCTCCCTCTCATCCTCCACAGCCATCATTTCACAAGCTCTAGCCCGCTCTTCCCTCCCTTCTCTTCGTTCCTCACCTCCCCTTTGCGAGTCTCTCCGCTCCTTCCGTCCTCCTTCTCTCCTACCTCCGGCCTCGCACTCCCTCCTCCCGCACGCTTCTGAACCTTGCCACCAGCTTGCCGCCATCTCCCCGCAGCACGAGCCCAGCCTTCCCAAACAGTGGGGCAAGAGGATCATGAGGGTTGTCTCCACCATGTCCGAGAGGATGCAGGAAAAGTTTGCGCGTCTGCAGCAGATGCTGACGTCAGCTGGGTACGAGCTGGACTACAAGCAGGGGAGGGCCAGCAACGCTCTCGTCGAGCTGGGAACCACCCACAAGCACATCTGCTTCTGCGTCATCTTCCTCACCCACGAACTCCTCAAGGAGGTGGGCTTCAGCTGGAGGGTGCCGACTCAACGCTCATGCTCATTGTCCAGGTGCGGTCCGGGGGATTCGTAAGGTCAGAGATAGAGTTCTTGCAACAGGTACTCCTCTCCTCTCCTCT